GGCACGTGGTGTTTGGGGTTTTGGTTTTTTGGAGCTGCCTTTACCTCCTCCATAGCAAAAATGAACATAGAAAAAAGTATTTTTGAGACTTGATGCCTAAGTCTTGCTCTATCTTTGCTTTAAATGCTTCTCTCTCTCACTTCCTTATTAAATGAAATCTACATCATGTGAGTGATCTTAAGTGTCCTTGCATAAATGTTGCAATTCTTTTAAAAGAGATACCTTGAAACAATAGGGAGAGATTGTTTACATTAGATCTAACACCTGCAAAGTGTGTCATGTACTTATGTTACTGATGAATACAAAACTGACATTTATTTTTTATTAAACCTGGATTAAATGTATATATAATTATTGTCTTTTTAATATTATATGTACAAGTACTTTATCTCAGGAAGATACTTAGATTTTATTACACATATTTGTCCCTGGTTTTGTTTTGTCTTTCTGGAGAAGTTTTAGGATTTCTTTTTCCTCAAGACAGAAAAATGCCACAGCCTCAATTTAACCATTTCATTAGCAAATAAATTCATTCCCACGCTAAATGGCTTCCACGTTATCAGAGGGGCTTCTGTTGTATTTTATAAATCGTGTAGGATTCCACAGCCTTCAGTTGTGAATTCTGTTCCTGCATTTTCAACTGTGGAAGAGTTGGACTCTATGAAAAATATTGTTGCTGGGGCTTAAAATGGAAGGAACAGCTTTAGATTTTTTGTTTGCTTTTCAATAAATTGTGCATCTCTGGTAGTTAAGTATTTGACTGAATAATCCAGTGCATCGTGTGCTATGAATTTAAAGTGATGAATATACATTTTAACTGAGCATGCAGGTAATTTTGATCTTGCTTTCCATATCAAAAGTATCAAAACATAATTGGTGGGACTGAAGAAGCCTTTTCAGACTATCATTACTATAATAATTTAGAAAATTAATCAACCAGAACAGATAATAAATTGCATATAATAACTGTTAGATGGACTATTTACTATTCATTCTACAGTGTTACATTAAATTTATGATTTTTGGTGCGTATTTTTTTTTCCCCTTTCACAGGCTCAGGTGTCATGTTATAGAAAGTAGTAAGCCTTCTTCTCTGACATTAAAAGAGAACGCATTTAATATTCCAGCAAAAACCAATGAAGATTTGCATTTACAGGTAATGGTGTATTCCTTTGTGCTGAATATTGAACAAAATTATAAAAGATGATAGAGATAAAAAGAATTTGAACTAAACCTCTTTGATACTTCATAAATTATACTATTTGAAAAGCTCAGCAGTTGAAAGTAACTAAATCAATGATAGTGATTTTGTGATTATTTTGTTGAATGACAATGGTTTAATAAAATACTACTTTCAATGCAGCTTGCTCATTTCTCTTGTGTATATTACAGGTCTAGGGTATCAGTGAGCCTCAGCTGTATCTTTTGCTTCCTAATGTAAAGATGTCACCTATATAGGCAATATGGGCTATCTGTAACTTAACATTTGAAGCTCCTTTAGTGGAAGAGATTCCTGAAGTATGTAGTGATAGAAAAGGTATCACTGAGAGAAGTCTTTTTTCGTAATTTTTTTTTCTGTGCTTATAGTTATTGGCTAAATAGTTCTAACTTAACAAGTATTTTCACATGCAGTGATTCTAATGTAATGAAACTATATCTATTTTCAGCTAACTCGTTTACTGCAAATTAATAAAAGACTTCAAGAGCGGATTGATCGCTGCCTCTGGTTCCAGCAGTTGTCAGTTGTTTTATCATTACTATCAGTTACTGTTGTTGCCTTCTGCTTCTACCTGGCATATACCCAGAGAAGCTAAAAAAAAATGCTGTACACTGGATGTGCTGTCTACCATGGTTGGTTGCAGTGGAAGAGATTGCAGTGATGCGCTCAGATTTTGGAACTGCCAAAATGAGGTTTGTGAAACCACAACAACAAATGATGATACAATTTACTGTCAAAAGGAAAAAAAAAAAAAAGAAGACATGAATGACCAGCAAAGGAAATTAATAGAAGTTGACACTTAGACCAGGGCACGAGGAAGATGTTAGAGCTAGGGTCTGTTTTCACAGTACAACTCAATAAATACTACTGAACTGGAAGGAGGAAGCTGAATACAACATAATTTAAAACTGTTTAGGTTTTTTTTCTTTATTCAACTACTTTAAACACAATATTTAATTTCTTTTCTTCATATTCATTCTTACATTCTGAATTACTCTCCTAGAAGGTACAAGCCATTAACTTAGTGTATTCTAAAGGTTCATAATCTATGTATAAAGGAAGATACTTCTTAGTAATTGTTTTGGTAATTCAGGCTCATTGCTTTCACCTGGTTAAATTGGTTATATTTTCTGGTTTATCTAAATGCAAAGTTGCTGTAAATATTTCCTACCAAATAACATATACACAGCCATAACAACCAGGAATATAATCTTTGTTTGATTCCAAAGATACCGGTGAAATACTCATGAGACACTACTCTTTTTTTTTTTTTTTTTTTTTTTTTTTTTTTTTAAGCAACTCTTAGTCAAATTGTGAAAGGACTGTGAGAGTTGACTTTTGATGACCTATTACTGGTTCATAAAAAGGCTAATAAACAGTCAGTGTAAGAACTTATTCTGAGATGTGCAATATGCTTAAATTACAGAGGAATTTATGAAAAAAAACAAGTCAAATCAGGAAGATTAAATATTGTTGAAGGCAACATAGAAGTGTTATATCTGCCATTTCTCAGAAAACGTGGAAATGGTGTATGAAGCTAGTGAGAACTTACGCTAACAAGGATTCTTTGTACTCATTGCTGTAAATATGTATATTAAAATGCTAAACACTTAAAAGGAGACTGATGGTATCTTTCATACATTTAAAATTTTCACTCTTGATGAGGTCTAAAAATTTTAAATTATTTCTTTACTAGAATTAATTTTTGCTACAAATTGGCTTTGTAACAGATCATTTAGTTTTGTCTGCTGACTTCAATATATGAGAAGAGATTATTGAGGAAAATTAAAGGTCATATTCTACTTCTGTCTTTTTGCTTACAGCATCTCTCCAGTGTGTTGTAGATGTAGTATCATTTCTAGGAAATAGAAAAGGGCAGTTTAAAAAAATGCATTAATAAAACATTAACTAATAAAGCAGCAATATGATTACTAAAGGAATTAACATGTAAAAGGCAACTCTACAGAACTGTTTGGTGCACAGTTGTCTTTCTTAATTTATACAATATTATATCTACATTTTCTTAACTTTCCACTAATCACCTTTCTGTTCAGTTTGCTTCTCAGTATTTTATTTTCTTAATGAGTTGGCAACTTACATTGTTCACTGCTTACTATGATGCTGTTATTTACTCTAGTTTCATGTGCATGCAACTCAGATGCTTTGCTTCCAGCAAAATGGGTTATTGTCTTGTTGGGAAAGGTAACGAAGAAATTTGTAATCTTAAGATAATAACCACCATGCTATTAAAATGCCTGTTCCTTAATTTCAGTGGATTGATAGCACTTTACTGTAAAATTGCAAGAAATATATTCTTAGAGTCTTTGCCAATACGAATATTTTAATGTTTTGGTGCTTTCATATATTTTCAGTATTTTATTACTATGTTGGTATTTTCTTTGTATGATAAACCAGATGAACATCTTTTCTATTTTAATATGTTTTAGAAAAATACAGTTACAAAATAAATATGAAGAAATATGTAGTCTTGAATGTTCAGTCTTTTAAAAGCTGCATCTCCTGAGGTTTTGGTTCTCTTGTTAGTCTGTAGATACTTAATATGAAGGAGGGGTCAATATGGTAATGACTCATAGCCTGTTGTATAATAGAAGTTGTGATAATACTTGTCAGAGAAATATAAAATAGATGATAATGAGTTCTTAGACAGAGTGTCTAACATAATAACATAGCACATGATATTGTCATGTAAACGCTACCGTGGCACAAAGAATGCAAGTCCACACAATACAAATATTCTTAGTAAATCTATTAGTTAAACATCACACAGTAAATTTAAAAAAATATATCTAAGAAAAAATAAAAGCAAAGCAAGAGTATTTTTTTCTTACTTAGAAATTGCCAGTAGACTACTTTGTATTTTTCTTTTGTGAAAATGTCATTTATATCCTCACAAAACATATGGTGATCCATCACTATTTTCCCAATTTTCAGTTGTCAGTAGTTTCAGGTTTTGTATGTCCACCCTTGGAAACACAGATTTCAGCCAGTCCATTTTGAAAGGTTTTGTGTCTAACACATATTGTTATTACACAGTGCACATCAGTAACGTGTTTTGATATGATACCCAAAATTGAGTGTATATACAAAAGGTTGTTTACAAATTTTTTATTTTTTCACAGTACATGAAACTGAGTTTGTAAAGCTGGGGCATTTTAGAACTTAGACGATTCATAAAGTAGGATTTTGATTACACGAACTATTGAGATAGAAGATTTCATTTCATTTTCCCTCATTGTAGATTAGCAGTTATCTTTGGCTTTTACAGACAATGACGAGAAAGCAATAACTATAATCCTATAAATTAGCAATATTTGCTTCAAAAGAGCACATACTCTTTTCCTAGCAAGCAGGTTTTGTGCCCTATTCTTAGGTTCAATTTTGTACTTTATTAAGTAAAAGATTAGGTTCAAGACTCCATAGATAGCGCTTTATTTATCATCTCTACTTCCAGACTTGCTGCAGGACTGCATGAACCATAGACACAGGTGGTGTTCTGGTGACACCATTCACATTGGCACTGATGATATTCAGTGGTTTAATGTTATGGTATATTTGAATGATCAAAGAGGTATTAAATGGGAAGTACATTTTCTTAAATAGTGGAAACAGGAATTTTTGCGTAAGGACACAGTCATGTTGAGGGTTTTTTTAATTAGATGTAAGAACTAAGTATCAAGGAAAAACGCATTGGACTAGGCTAATTTGGAGAAAAAAGTCTTGATTTTAATATTTTAACATTTAGAAAAATAAACACAGACAAGCATAATACATTTTAGATATTTTATTTTTAAAAAAATTGAGGGGTGGGGAGGCAACAGGACCAGGAACAAGGTTTTTTAATTATTTCATCAGTGATTCCCTGCTGTAACTGATTTGTCTGTAATGTCTGCGTTCAGTTGTCAGTCATTGTAGTCTTTTCTGTAGTCTAAAGTAGCCCACCAAAAGGACTGCTACATTCTTCCTTATGCCAGTTCAGGGCCTCTTGATCTGTTAGTAATACTTCCTCTGTTCTACTTAAATCTGTAAATACCAGTTGTGCTATATTGGCATTGCACTGGAGTTGGTTGAAATGTCAGAAAACCTAAACATGAAAAAAAGGTATAACTTCTGTTTATCTTTCATTTTCTTTGATCAGCAATGGAATATATTTATCATTTTATTGTCTCGGTGTTTTTTCACAAAATAGTTTTGGAGGTTTTGCTTCCTGTTGAAAATATCTTGTTAGAAGGATGGTAAATTATGTGTTTTCGTTGATCATGATTTGTCCATGAGATATGCCAACCCTTGATGGTGATTCAGCTGGCAAGAAACTATGATTTCCTTGAAAGTATTCAAGGATTATTTTTTTTTTATTTTTCAAAAACATGAAGTCACTGTGCCTCTTTTTTTCTTTAGTCTTGATCAGACCTTGCTCCTGAAATAAATACATCTACACAAACTTGACTGAGGAGCAAAAGACTTGGCCTATTGGAACTTGCCAGAAGGAACAGATAGTTGAATATGTACTTTCTGTTACTGACCCAACTACAAATAACCAGTTACATCTACTCATGTTATTTCAGTACATGTGTGTATACTGTGAAGTAGCCACACAATAAACTGTCATTGCAACTTGATGAGAAAGTAAGTGATAGATTCACCCCACATATCAGTTTTATCCAGAAAGCCATGGGGGCCAGGTGGAGCAATGCTACATAATGATGTGCTCTTACCACAGCAGGCTGTGCAAGTGGTGTCTCTAGAGCAAGCATTCATCTGATTTGGGGCCTGGGAGAGGGAAAAAACTGTCTTGATAGGTTTTGGTTCAGATCCATTGTGATTTCCTTCGTTTTGCAAAGAAATGTTTCAGACACAAGGAACTCAAATCCAAACCTTCAGTATCAGTCCCACCATCCCATTTTGTGTTTATGATGAAATCTGAATTAAGATATCATTCAGGTGACGATGATGTAGTTTAACAAATCCTGTGTGGTGTTTAATTATTCAGAATTACAACTTTCTTGTATTTCCACAGTCCTGTATCAGTTAAAATCATTGCCAGTTTCGTTTTTGACAGCTTAGAGCTGTATCTGAACACCTGTTCTCCAAGCCCCAGGGAAAATGTCAGAATGAGGAGCACCATTTAAATAAATACAGATTGCAACAGTAATGTGAAAAAGAAGCATAAACAGAATTTGTTAAGCTTTTATTTTCTGGAATGCTACAATTAATAAATTGCTGAAAGGAAAAGCGAATCTGGGCAAACACCACAGATGCTTCATTAATCTGGTACAACTAACACTTACAGATTGATGCTTAACCTACTGGCATCTGAATTACTATAATCCCCATGCCCTGAAGTGCATTCTCCTGTACATAAGTAGCATTTACCATATTTTTGATTTTCTTACAGTTTTTTTAGAGTTTAAACTTGCAGCTGATGGTGATGACTCACAAAAAGATTTTGGAGTGCTTTCTAAAGGAAAGTAGCATTTTCTTCTTGAGTTCACAGTTTAATGGGCTTTGTTCTGCAAAGAGGATGTACGAACATGGCTTCTCAGTCCAGTCTGGAATTAGGTGGGAAACCTCAGAAAAGCAATGCTCGTTCATGCTAGTCAGTTGCTGATTTTAAATACAATCCTGAACAGATATGTGTTGATGTATATGTGATCCCAAATATTGCTGTTCTAGTGGTCATTGTGATTGACATGATGCTTCTTCTTGCCCCTCACATTGGGTGTGTGTTGGAGTTTGGAGTAGGAGTTAAATCAGTTATTTCTATCTCATACTGAAAGTACACTCCAATATTCCTGTGCTGGCTGTTCCATACTGGTATATGGGTGCAGAGCATGGGGAACTGGTACGGCCTCTCTGTTCTGAGAGTCTTCAAGAGCATCCATTTACTCCAGCTAGTTCCTAAATTGAGGAGAAATTACAAAAACATCAGAGGAAGGGTATTTGATTCTTTTCACTACTTCAGGCAGGTGCATCTGCTGAAACCCTGAGAAGTATTACATGATAAATAAAAGGTGAGGTAGCCAAGGAAGGAGCTGTATCTTGGATTTGTCTGCTCTAAGCTGCGCATTTTAAAAACAAGGTAGACAAACAGATTTTGTGCTCTGTCCATTTTCAGTTGAGATGTACCTTCCATTAACCATTTCAATTTGGAAATATATCTGAAGTGTTCCTTAATCACACAGATGCTGTCTCATAGCAGTCTGGCCCAACAGATGGCAAAGCTTGCAGATACTGAACATTAAAATTCTCCTTGAAAT